AAGAATGAGCAAAGAAGAAAGGTTAGAGGATTTAAATAATTCAATGGCATCCAGATTTTTTTCAAAAACATTTTTTTCCATATTTCAAACAATGTTTGTTGCAAAAATAAGTAATACAGCAGATATGCTTGATAAAGAATACGGAAATCCAGATAAGCTAGGGTTAACGTTGAATGAGAAGGCAATTCTGAACTTTGCATTTATCTATTATGGTAGCTTAATGGATAATATAACAAATAGTCTTATTCCTATATCTGCCAAAAAACCGATACAACAATTAACATATGGCAAAACATTTATTTCATCGAATTATTTTATGTTATCTTCACAAATATTTTCATTAATGAATTTAAATAATTTAAGCCAATTGTGTGAATATCAAGCTATAAGTACTTCTATCTGTTATTCTGGAAAGAAACTTGGTCGGTTTATTGAGAAGATGCTATTACCTGTTATTGTATATCTCATAAAGCTGAGAATTTCGCGAGTTATAACGAATCCTAATGAGTTTACAACTGCGTGGAGTTATATTAAAACACCTAGTTTTAAGCATCCTGCTATTACTATCACTGTGCACAGGAGTTTGAATTTATACTTCAATACTCCAATTGGTTTTCCTTCTTCAATGCGTGACAAATTAGGAGAACAAACTGAGCATGTGGAATCTCTAAAACCAAGTTCGAACCCAGCACTTTTTGGGTTAACGAAAATCCTCCGTTGGAAATAGTCCGGTCATTTGCATCGGCTCTTACTTTGTATCCTTTTATTTGTTACTATGCTTTTCTGCAAAATTTTATTTATTTCTTCATAACACCAGTCCGCCTCTTGGCTAGGTATGTTTTTCCAGTTAATAATTATATTAAGGATAGTGTCCAAAGCGGTCTTACAGGATATACAACCGATAGATTAATAAAGTATGCAGAAACATCCCTATTAGATATCAAAAGACAAGGTAAATTGGAAGAAGCAATGAAGGCCAGATTGGAGCTCAAAAAGATTAATGAGCATCCAATTATAAAGGGTCTAAAAGAAGATCTACCTATGATAGCACCACAAGAATATGAAAGATTGCAAAAATTGAATTCTTCGTTATATACAAATGATAATTTA